AAATTCGCATGCCATTTCGGATCTAAAGTATCAACAAAAACATCTGTCGACAACCAGCCACCATCTTCCGACACCAAATCTGATCTCCAAGTTTTACAGTTACCACTGAGTTGTACATGCACAAGGCCATAATGATTTTGGAACTTCACATATCCATTGGCATTCTCCATCTCTCTAAAAACAATATCAAAAGTTTTAAACGATAGAACTAACAAAGCATCTCTTGTATACAAACTTTCTCCAGACATGGATCAATAGACAAGAATCAGATTGACTAAGTGTGTAAGGGTTATTTCAAGGACTGTACTTCAAGAGTGAATTTCAAATTTCAAAATGTATCAAATACTTTGTTTGACAAACCAAGACAATGAATTTGCTAAATTTGTCTGCATTCTGGACCTGCATGCTGAGGGAACCAATTACGTGCTTTAAATTATGCCTCAAGAGGCCAAATTTCCAAACACAGCTAACTTCATTAAGTACTTTTAAAAGAGACAACACCAGAATAGAGCGAAGCTCTATCACCTGCAGACTAATCTTGTCTTTCCCCAACCGCAGGCACCTTCAACTTTAGGCCACACCATCAACATCAATTTCAGTGTTTTTTTCCCTCTCTCTCTCCTCTCCTCCAATTGTGAGTTCAATACCCTTCTTCTTCGTCCTCATACTAGCCTTCGTCTCATGAGCATGTTTAGTTGAGAAATTTAGTTATTGAAGGTTGAGAATTTGAGTTACTGATTTCATGTCTAGTTTAAGAAATTTGGAGTGGTCAAATGGTGGGTCTTTGACTGTTTTAAAGATGGTTTACAGTTATTTTAATGGTGATTTACATGGCTCAAGTGGCAATTTTGATGGTTGTGAGTATAGTGTGTTTGAAAGGTATGGTGCAGTTGTGGCTCAGCGATGAAAGGTGGATACAACACAAGGGATGAGGCAAAGGTAATTCCGGTGTTTTCTTCTTTTTTTTTTTTTTGATTTACTTTTTAAAGTCCCTTTTTCCTTCATGAAATTCATAGGAATGTAATTAATTGTTACCCAAACGACTATTCAAATTCAAAGATTTCAAGATACTGCATTTTCTTGAATTTTTCAAATACTTCATTCAAACAACACCCTCAGATTTCCAGCAGAAACCATATCACTGAAAACAACAATATTTTTTACATACATAACTCTAAAAAGTGTAAGCAAAAACCTATACAAACAAAACCTTAAAAAAAATGATGTCTTCCTTATGGAAAAAATATGCAGGGTATGAGGAAACCCAAGGGACATACAGGGAAAAAGTACTCATTGATTCCCATATATTATTGTATACAAAAAGCCATCTGGTACGCATGCATGAAATAGGAAATGCTATAACCGATATTATAAACTGCAACTAAAAGCAATCCGAAAAAAGTACATTTCATTCACTATGAGAGATTCTTATACACACTCTAAGGCAGGGCAAAGAATAGATATGAAATTGGATCTTGCTTTTTTTCTTTATTAACATAAAAATATGATAATAAACTTTCTACTTCTTTAATCAAACGCCCATAAGAGCTACTTAAAATCAAATATCTAGTGAAAACCACATGAGGTTTTTTATATTAGTATTCCATGTAGGATTAAGAGTCGAACAGATTCATAGAAATCCATTCATGACTATGAAAAGTTGTATTGCCAATTGAAAGCACATAAGTAAGAAATCATTGATACATATATATATATATATATATAATACTTATGTACATGCATGTACATATGCATAAAGCAAAAGAGAGGGAGAGGAGTTAGCACCTGGGCTCTCTATCACCAAACGCTAGCAGCATTAGTGTTCCACCCTTGAAATGGACAGAATCCACAGCAACTGGAAGCATCTTCTCAATGCCTTCAGTTTGCACCACATTTACCCCATTAACAAGTTCCGCAAAAATATCCTCAACCTTTGAAGCCACACAAGATTTAAGTTTTTGAAAGGATCCAGCTAAAAAATTGGAAAACTGTTCCCCAATGTTATGAAAAGAAGGCAAGCCAGGTTTCAAGCCTAATGGCCAAAATGTAACCAAATGGTACAATGAAGGAGTGGGGTCAGATTTTATCGAAGTAAAAGGTGATGCAAGACTCCCTTCACCCTTGGATACGTTCTCATCCATATTCCCAGTTACAGCATCAAAAACCAGTTCTTCACCATCTACTTTAGAACTTGCGGTTTTAGCAGCTCCTGCAACATTTCCACCGTACGGAAAATTTTTGCCAATTTTTCTAACCCCACTAAGTCTTTCAACAGTCATAAGAAATGGATCACGTAAGAAACTGAAATTTCCTAAAGTGCCAATATTATTAATACGCTGGTTTTCTGTCTCTTCACATTGTTCCCCATACTGGTTATAAGTGAATAAACTTCCTTCACTACCATTTATGTCAATAGAAGTTTCAGCATTAGAATCATCTTCAGTTTTCACCAAGAGGGTATTAAGATCTGATAGATCATAACTTGGTGCCTGTAAATAATCACCAGAGTCCTCTACGGATAGACCATGGAAATATGCAAGTGCTGCTGATGCACTGCGCTCGAGGATTTGTCTCTTGGCAGCAATACCAGAAGAGGAGGTATCGCTTCTATTAAACTTTTTCTTAAATTTGTTCCTTTTAGGGCCTTTTATAACTTTCGGCCACAATGTAAGCCCGGAAACTGGAATGTTCACACCAAATGATTTCTCCAATTCTGCATGCTTCGTGTCATAATCAACACCGGTATCCATGCAATGATGATCGCTCCAACGCAACTTCTCATCCATGCATGAAAATGAATTTGAGCTTGTTATTTCAGCTGAGGGACCTATCTCTTTAACTGTATCATCTTCAGATCTATCTGAACTTCCCTCAGAAACAATGTACCCCATTTCTGCTGCTTTCCTAGCATCATCATCTCTCTCTCTAGCCCAACGAGAGGCAGATTCCTCTCTTGCAATCCTCCTGCTTTTAGTACGATAATCAATTCCTTCCTCGGTTGATAAATGCCTCCGTAGATCATCTTCAGAAAAGGGTATTCCCAGCCAAGTATAATCTTTCTTCTGCGCAACCAATACACTTGGATGAGACAAAAGTGCTTCTATTACAATCTTGCCCCTCCTCAAACTTGCGAAAGGCCGAACACAAATTTTCATACTGGGAACCTCACCACAAGAAAACTCTTCACAATGAGGCCCAATAGAACATGCTTCCAATGTAATACTTAATGGCGAAACCCTGCTAACCTTACCAAAATCAATCTCACGCTGTATATATTCACTAAGCACTGAACAAACCGAAGGCAACAGTTTTGCTTCCACAAAACCTTTAGCTTTCTTCTGTCCATACCAAACCAAGAAACACACACCAGACATAACAGCAGTAAGAACAGAGCACCTAACCAACAATAACCCCTCTGTCCACAACGGAGACAAAAACCTTACTAGAGCCTTGCTCCCAGCCAAAGGCTCCTCAACACTTTTGGCGATAAACCCATTTCTCAAACCAATAGTTTTCCTTAACAACTCAACGTTTTTCCCACAAAAATGGGAAAACCTGATTGCTCGAGAAATCCAATCATTCTGCTTCTCCGCGGACACACGCTTGCGTATTGCTCTTCTAAAGAGCTTCCCTCTATCAACATCAAAGCAATTTCCATTGCTTTTTTTACCATATAAAGAGGTTCCAAGTGGTATCCCGAGAAATGGGGAATTGAGTTTTAGGCTCATTCTCTTCTTCTTCTTCTTCTTCTTCTTCTTCTTCAACTCATAGACTTAATTCATTGTGTTGGGGACCAAGAACCTCCTCGCTCTTAGTCCCCTTCCAATTTAAACCATCTCAAGGTTTGCAAACATTCCAAAACAAACCTAATATTTACAGATTCAATAAATCAACAAAATTTGCTTCATAACTATATATTTTATAAAAGAATAAAAAATTTGGGATATATTTGATAAAAGAATAAAAAATTTTAGGTTTTAGAGAGAAAGAAAGAAGGAAACCTTGAAGAAGGAATGCGCGAATGCTTGAGAATACTTGTGGCTTCGTTTTTCTTAATTTTTAATTTGAATCTTTTTTTTCCCGTTTTTTGTTTTTAAAAAGAAAGTAAAGAAAGAGGAGGCATTGGGTTGTTTTTCTGGCTTTGCTTTCGAGTTCCGAATACGAGAGTTTTTCCCCTTCTTTTTTTTTTTTATTTGGCGTGGCAACTAAGGAAAGAAACGTGGTGTTTGTTGACGAAAATGCCACCAGAACATACGAAATGACGAGATTAACCTTATCGGCCTATGGTCCTAGTCGTGTATCATCCTGGCTCAGTCATTAGGAATTTAATAAAAATAGTACTTAATTGTAAATATTTTAAGTTTCGATTTCAACCATGATAGACTCAATTAATCAAGACTTATTTTTTTTGATAAAATAATTTTGAATTTAAATTTTGTTGATAGTATTAGTTGACATTATTTTAAATGTATGATTTATAATCATTTATCATTAAATTTGACATATTTTATCTTAATTTAAAATTAAATAACTTATCTATATTAAATTTTTATATAAAAGTAAATAAAAAATAAAATTTTGGTTTCGAATTAATAATTTTATTATAATTTTGAGTACCAAATATTTTTAAGCCAAAGTGAAAATGAAATTAAAGACAATCTATAACTTTTTTTTTATGAAAACCTAAAATATTTTCTAAACAATACTTTTAAGACATTACTACTAAATTAAATTCATTATTCCATGTAAATACTTGGACATATATATATATATATATTGAATATTTATTGTGTTTAATAATTAAAATTACTTTTATATAAAATATATAAATATTCAGTATAAATAAACTTAATTGTTTTACCAATCCCCACATTAATAGCATGCAATTTCATGTTATGCCTAAAAAGTAAAAAGAGAAAAAAAAACCTTTTTTTTCTTTATTCAAATATTTATTTTTTTTATTTGAAAAAAAATAACTGAGCAACAATAAGATCCGAAAAGCTAAAAAAAAAAAAAAAAAAAAAAACTCTCATTTGAGTCCATTCAGATACAACTAAAAGGTCATCTTTTCCAAGGAAGCAAAACCCACCGTCGATTTCGCATTGTTACCTGAATATGTATATATGTCGAACAAGAAGGTGCCTTTACCGCACTGGCTGCTGGTTGTAATGGTTCTTCTCTTTCTTTTTTGCAGCAGCAAGCCTTGCACTCCTTGCAGCAGCCTCTTGTGCGGCAGCTTTTGCAGCAGCATCCATCTCTTTACTAGATTTCTTCTTCTTCATAGACGCCATCTTCTTTAACCACTCTTTCACATCGACAGCTGATGCATCCTCCTCAGCCTGCTCAGTCCCAGCAGCTTCATCTGGTCCATTGGTGGCGTCTGTACTAATAGGCTGATCCTGTGATTCTTTTCCCTCCTTTGATTTATCCTTCTTTTTCTTCTTCTTGGCACTTTTAGACTCTCCTGGAAGATTTTCCTTCTTTTCTTCCTCTCCATCTTTCTTTTCCTGTGCAACATCTGCATATATAAGAGATAAGAACTTAGCTTAGAAGAGACTTTCCATTACAGATATTTGAGCAAAGGAATTGTTCTGACTATAAATGCCATTGAGAGAGAGAATTTCATATTTTCAATCTTGTGCTCACAAACAAGCAGCCCACGTGACAATACTTCAATCATCAAATATCGTTTGTCAAAACAAAATATCTAAGATTTGATACTACTGCTTTCTAACCTCAACAATAATTATAAATAACCAACTTTCCACCAAAACTAGGGAACAATGTTGCAAGCAAATAATTACAGAGTACGATAGATAGTAATAGAAGCACTAAGTAGGTTAAAATTACGGCTCGACTCATCCTGGCCATTGCTCTCCTTCTGTGTAACTCCAAAATCAGCAAGAAGAGCCTCCAGGTCTGCAAGTTCCTTTTTCTTCCTCTCTTTCTTTGAAAGTTGTCTTTCTGCCTCCTTGGGTGGTGCAGGAACTTCAGGAGCCTTTTTTGGCACAGGCTCTGGATGTACTTGAACCTCAGGTTCATTGTCATGATCTTCCTCCATATCATCATCACCTTCGTCTAAAATATCTTCTTCGCTCTCACTATCCTGTAATCCCAGATCAATTAAAAATTAATGAGACATAGCTTGTCAAAAAGCCAACTAATTTTCATCATTCATTCAGTATCAATTATAGCCATCCAATCATACACAATAAATCATTTATGCTCGAGGGACTCATCCTTTTAGCAGAATTATAAAAGCATAAATGGACCTGCCAAGTACAAATTAAGCCTATTCCACTTGTTTGTTTCCCTTCTTCTTCGACCTTAAATTGCAAAAAGCATACAATAAACTTCCACTTAGAACAAGAGAGAACTAAAATATAATCTGACACCTTAAGGATTTATGCTATTTATGCAACAAGACTAAGAATAAATCTTTAAGTTTCAAAACTTAACTACAGGAATGATAAGATCCAACAATATTCCACCATCTTTTCTCACTCTTCTCCTTAGGAGGATTAGCAAAACAACTTTTCCTATCTATTCTATTGACAAAGAAAGACAAAGAGGAAGTAACATCCACTTCAAATGATAAGGGCAGGAATGTAAAAGTAGATCATGTTTCTGATTAAACAAAGAGTCAATATTCAATATCTTAAAAAAAAACCTAGATTTGGGAAGTTTATAACAATGTGATCCTCATGTGCTGGGAGTGCTATAATACTAATAATGGATTTAAAATTAAATTAGAAAAAAAAAATAAAGACAAACAAATAAAACCAAGATATAGCACCATTGATTTATATGATACCATAAAACATCAAAAGAAAAAGACGAAAAACACCTCATCCACAGAGAAAGACCAAAAAATACATATTTTTCACTTTAGCTCCATCAGACATTAGTTCCATGTATCAAATGTAAGTTCTTTATTTTTTTTTTTTTCCTTTTTCTTTTTCAGAGCAAGGTCCCTGAATGAACAATGTTAATCATAGTACCTTTCTTAGCATTGCAATCAGAACAATTAGCATTCTAAAGATAGACAAATATACACAGTCTTCACCATGAACTTGCATAATTTTAATCCACTGGTGGTAAAAAGAACCATAAGTAGCATCTATTAATAATTTTACTTAGGAAAATCCTGCTAGTTATTTTATTGCTTGGCCCTACTCAACCAGTTCCTTAAAAGAGTTTTAAATTCCCATAAACACATTCGGCACAATATCATGATATCCCGAATTTCAATAGAACCTTTCAAAAGAATTTATATAAAAATATTTTAGCAACATGAATGACATATGCATAGAGGCATTCTCAAGTATCACTGTTATCACCAAAAACACCTAACAATTTAACACCCAAAATAGCTCCAAACTTGAACTTAAATTAAGAACAACAGGTAGAAAACAATAAATTTAATCTAAGATATATGAGAACCCAAGTCAACATCTCCACCTCAAGCCAAATTCCATAGAAAAGTATGCTATCAGTTTCAGCCATCAAACCTTTGGCCAAACAATTGGCTACTAAAAGCTCATTTTCCAATCATTCACAATCACTCAAATAATAACAAAATAAAATCCAACCAGAATTTCAATATATATCTTTTAAAAATTACATTAATGGATTCCATAGCCATCAATCTAGAAAAGAAAAGACAATCGATCGTTTAACCAATACGTTAATTCACCTCTACATTGGCAGTCTTGTCTTCATGACTCTGAGACGGCTCCGAGGACCCCCAAACAGGCTGAGGAGGAGCGGTTGTAGCATAATAATCATCATCGTCATCGACATCAGCCCACGACTTGACAGTGAGCGGTGCCGGAGCCCAAAACACCTGCGGCTCGGGTTCCTTTTGAGGCAGTTGCTGTTTCTGAGACTTGGAAGAAGACTTTCGAGAAGAAGCTCGGTCCTTGTCAGATTTCTTCTTCTTCCGGAGAGTTTCGAGAGCCGCAAACACGTTAGTGTTGTTGATCACCAACGATCCTTCGTCTCGCCTGCTGCCTCCTCCCACCATTTCCCCAAAATCAAATAACAAAAAACAAAGTCGAATCGATAAATATACAAATAAAATTTAGTAAACTTTTCAAAAAACGGAAATCGAGACGTTAAAGACGAGATTTACGTAAAAATACTGTGAGAAGACGATATGATTTTATAGGCTTCGTTGAAATTGGAAGAGGTTGGAGATCAAAAAGGAGTGTTTGTTTCTCGGGAAAAAAGAAAGAAATCGAGGGAGATAAAATTAGGGTTTCAAATAATGCGTATTTGCTGCAGACAAGACGAGCGCCTAGAGTAGCGTTGGGTAGTAACTTATATCGGTTGAGATAACATAAAATGACATAAATTATTTTTAAAATTTGAATTTAAAATGTAAATAAAAATTAGACGTCGAGGGTAATTAATGAGGTGTAAAAATAAAAATTCCCTTTCTATAATTTAGTAAAGGAGGTAAAATGCTCAACAACTTCGTTTCGATTTGGTTTTCCATTTTTTTTTCGTTTTTATGATATTGTCGAATTAGAAGTTTTTATTTTCTTAATCTTTTTTTTTATTCGTTTTCTATGATATTGTCGAATTAGAAGTTATGCACTTTCTTCCGTGTTTGTCCAATACGTTATTGGATTGATTTATACAATCTAACCAATTTACGAGATATTAGTTTATCATAACTTTTTAGGTAAAATAAAATTAAAAAAAAAAAAAAGCTACTTCTCTTTGTTACATGAACCAACATCCATTGATAAACACATTTTATTCTTAATCGTAAAAGTAATATGATAATTAAAGCACGAGCCAAATCTAATTTTTACCTGCTTGTTGGTTATGAAAATAATATGGATAATTAGCCCTAGAAGGAAACAGAGAAATGTCTGCTTAATGGGTCAGAAGCTATACAAGTAAAGTGAAATTATCACATCAAGCAAATCCAATGTGTCTAAATAAAGCTAAGCCACATTGCTTGCTTTGCTAGTAGCTATATAGAACATCATCATAAAGCAACTAATGTGAACCTATAAGAGTTGATTATTGGTATAGTGGCACATTGGGAGACATTCTGTCAAATAACACCCATAATAAAAAGGAATATTTTCAGCCATTCTCATTGTTTCTAACACCTTGTACAATTTAAATGAACCCCTACATACACATCAAGGTAAATAAAATGGATCCAACCACAGCTCTGCAGGACTGGATTGTGGCTTTAAGCCAAAAAAAAAAAAAGATGGTATATGTGAGGAATAGAAGAGTACGAAAAGGCACTATCATTTTCCTTTTCTCTCTTCAACCAGCCATCTCACTTAATTGACTATGCCACAAAGAATAGGAAAACCATAAGGAAAAAAATCAATACAAAAAATATCTTGATCATCAGCCACCTGTTAGAAGATATGCTGTTTAGGTACTTGAGCAAAGCTCCCTGTGCTCCCTCCACATTCACTAAGGTGTCATCCATGTTCTCATCAATCCTGAAAAGAAAACACCACAACCCAGTAGTCCATAGATCAGTTAACAGATTCAGACTGCAATGTTAATGTGTACTGCAGCGCATTTCATACAAGTGAAATTATTTTAGATTGGTGGAAATTATTCATAACTTTTGACAGTCACTACAAATGGATCACTTTTATCAATGATCTATCTAATTTATATACCTATTTACTCCCATGTGAGGGATTGATTAATATCTGAATAACAATGCTAATATTCCATGATAAGAATGACAACACCTTAAATAGCAAGTGATATATTAGCAAATAAAAGTAAATTCATATAAATGCCAAGTGAAGTTGCTTCAAAAAGAAAAAAAAAAAAAAAAACCTGATAGCTATTTCTCCTTGCTGAGAAACCAGAGTAGCTAGCTGGTTGAAGATGGTGCCTAGCTCATGAATAGTGGATTCTACATTTTGAAGAGCTTCAGCTCTGCTCTGCATGTAATTGTCTTGCAATGGAACCATTTGTTGTTGTTGCTGCTGCTGCTGGAGCAATGGCTGATTCTCCCCATCCATCTGCTTTCTGTATAATTAAGAAACAGAAATGAAGTTTCACTATTGTACAGAATTTCAAGTGGATAAAGTTCATATAAGAAGTTAAAACCAGCTAGACTAAAACAGAAGCAGCCAACAATAGTTGATTCCAAAAGAATTAGAAAAAGAAATGAAAATAAATTTTAAAAAAGGACTGCATGAAGAATAAAAGCAAACGCAGCATCATTCAACCACCACAAGCACATATTGCACGCAAGGCAAAAAAGAAAATAGAACTTTGTGGCTTTTCTGGACAAAATAAGAGCAATATGCAATTGCCACAAACTGCTAAAAACGTACAACAGGAATTTTATGAAATGTTTCATGAGCATTCAATAACAAATTATTATTAATGAACTCAGAAGTTCCTAAAGAAAATTCAAGACTTATAAAGTGTTAATTTATTTTCTCCAATTAATAAGTCATAGGGATATTACTTGTACAGGAAAGGAGCATATTACTGCAAAACATCTGAATAAGCTGTTACCTTGGAAACAACTGAGATGAAGATGTAGACCCATTAGCCCATTGAGGAACATTGTTTGAAGCTCCAGCTGCTGATTTGGCAGCCAGGGGGCGCTGCCGTACAAAAGGATTTGGAGAATCCTTTGACGCTGAGGAAGAAAATAACTGTCTTCTATTCTCATGAACCTTTAAATTCTGTGCAAGGCAGTTCATTGCCATCAATTGCTAAGGGAATGAATTACCAATGACAGAACTACAAGGAATAGTAGCAAAACAGATCTAAGTAAATTAAGTGAGCAAACAGACTGAAAAACTCTGCCTTACCTCTGTTCGCATGGTAAGGACTTCTTTGAACTCCTTTGTGGCGCTCATCAAGCGATTCTTCAAGTCATCTACTACTGTGGTTGAATGGCTAGATGTGTCACTGGAGACACCACCTTCGTTTCTAGAATTGCAGAAAAGCTGAAGGTCTACCACTGCAGAATTAAGTGCAGTAATATCCTGCTTGATAACTGCAGTGAGCTCTTGGATTTCGAAAGTAGGGTCATCAAAAACTGAAGTTCTCTTCGCCACTGCAAAGTGAGCAAAATATAGGATTTTTTTCATCATGCTAAATGAAAAACATGTGGGATCATAGCATCCAAGAGAACAACAGCAACAATTATAAAATCCTCTCAATATCTAATCTGTTTGTCTCCTTCTATATCTCCCATTGACAGTTCTGCAAACTGGATTTCATTTCATCAAGTTCAGCAACATCAATAGTACAATTAAACCAAGACAACCAAGATGGGACCATTTGTTAATTGAATTCCTATCAAACCACAAACACGAAAAGGAAGGGGGAGATGGGGCAGAGCTATAGAAGCACGGTTTTGGGGTCTCCTACTGTGACTATAATCTTGATTATGTAAATAAAGCTGATAAAAGTACTTACATTTTGCTAACTTCGAAAGTTTCTGCGAAGTCTGATGAATCCCAAACCCAATCTTAGACGCCCTCCTATTGAACTCCGATTGATGCGCAACCACAGATCTCGGTTCCGCCGATCTCAAACTACTGCTACTCGGCCCATTTTGGCCCGGCCCAGACGAGAACGACTTCCTTAACCTCTCCGCTACGCTCTGAAATTCCAGCGTTCGATCCCTAAATGACGATTGTGCCACTTTTACAGGCATTTTTTTTGTTAAACTCCTCGATCTTCAAAAAAAACCCAAACCCCTAACCTAACATCTGATTCCCTGAGAAAAAGGAAAATAGACGAGATAAAAAAAAAAAAAGAAAAAACAAATTTCCTCGCTTTTCTTTGCAATTAAGAAAAAATTAAGGATACGAACGGAGATTCTTACTTCAAATTGGAGAGATCTGAAACCCTAATCTACCAGATCGACCTTGATTCGGAATAACGCTGTCGTATAAACTCAAATTTTCAATAGACAAAATTGAAGCGCTAGATCTAGATCGAGATCGATAAAAGTGCTTATAATTGCGACGAGTAAGCTTCTTTTATCACATGAATGCGATTGGTGGATCAAATTGAAATCAACGAATATTGGGCGTGTCTTTATCGGGTAAATGCAAAGGGAAGCTTGACTGGAGATTTTGAGGCGCAATGGGTTCTGGGTCGTTACCCACGCAAGGCGCGACCCGTTTAATAGTATTGGTCTCCTAATTGGATATTTTGCATTAGAGCCCCTTGAATTTTATCCTTTTTTTTTTTTCTATTTCTTAAAAAATCTTATGCATAGTTTGATAAATTATTAAAATTTTTCACCACATTGAAAATGAAAATTTTTAATATTTTAAATTTTCAATGTGTTTGGTAACATATTTTAAAATTCATTTAAAAATAATTTTTTAATTAAAAAAATTTGTATAAAATAAATAGGTATAGACCTATTATCATTTAATGTAAAATTTGTTCAGCCCATTTTTTTATTTTTTAAAACTCATTATCTTCTAAAAACATAACTTCATTATCTTCAATCAAAATAAAAATAAAATGATAAAATGATCATTTTTAGAATTTAATATTTTAAAGTTATCACACAATATATTTATATTCAATATTTAATTTTTAGTAAAATATCAAATAGATTTTATAATTCAAATTCAGTATTTATCAAATTTAATATAAAAAATTCAATACTTAATTTTTCAACACATGATTTTTAAAATACCCATAAATTCTTTTTATATTTGATATTGTTAATTTGTTTGATTTTGTATATAAATTTATTAATTTAGTTTATATCACTTTGACTTACATTAAACTCAAATTGATACTTAATAAATAGTCATTTAGATTTTTAGATTTAATTTTTATAAAATTACATAAAATTATGATCATAATAAAATATTGATTTATATCTCATGCGATACACAAATTATTTTTATATATATAAATATATACACACAAATAAACCCTCTTGGTACATTAATGTTACATATATACATACATTAATATACATTTTAATATTACATATATATATAGAATAATATAAATATTGAAGATTAATAAAATCGTATATTATATAAAAATTAATTTTGATTACTTTCCCTGCTTTGAATATTGTTGATTACTTAAAAAAAATTAAGCATGTTGATTATGTAAGTGTAATATATTTATTGAATAATATAAATATTAATTAATAAATTAAAATTGTTATATTTCAATTCATTGGTTTTGAATTATTAAAAATTAAGCATTTTTTTAGGTCATGCATTAATGAAAATTTAATTGAATAAATTTATTGATGTGTTTATATTAAATATTATTTTATAAATATTTATTAGTTGTTTATATAAAAAAGTGACCCGAAAGTGGGTAAATTTTATAGTTTTAAGCGTTTGGAAAATCAGAATCCTTTGTGTGCTCACATTCTTTTGCCACGTGTTCATGATAAAAGCGAATTCCTTTACGCTCCATGCTAGCGAGTGGCTTCCTCAGTTCCTTAATGGCGCCTACTAACTTAAAATCTTAATGGCATTTTTGCTATTTCACCAAACCATTAGGGTCAGTTAACTAATACGAAAATAGAAATGCGCAATAAAACCTTTTTCTTTTTTTCTTTCAATTAACCATTTTAGCAAAATCGAGCCAATTAACTAACTACCTCACATCTCTCATACCAATTCAAAATCCAAACCGTCCACCTTTCAGTATACCCAATCATGGCCGTTCGTTAATCTCTTCGTTTACCCCGGAAATGTCGATCCTTATAAATGAATCAGGCAGCTTTAAATAATCCGAACAAGATCCCCACCGCACTTTCTAAATCCGAGGGTTAATATATTGCCACGTAGCTAAATAAAAAGCCAAGTACACATTTTTCCTATTTTCCCATTTTTTTGACTTATTAATTCTTTTAATTTTGTTATTTTCGATCTAAACCCTTACTCTCGTGAAACCGAAGAAGCCCTAGGTTCGTCCCGTCTCGCACGGTAAAAAAAAAAAACACACACACACACACACAAATTATTGAGAAATTAATTTCAAAAATCGACAAATTTATTAGGGTTTCAATTCGAAATCCCTAGATTCAAACCCTAGCCTACGGTCGTACTCTTGATATTCACGATTCAGCGGAGAAATTGATATTCTTCGATACTTCGATCCAAGTAAGTAATAAATTTTATTGCGGTTTTCTTTGCTAATTGTTTAATTTGTTATAGGAATGATTTATATATATCAATATTGGGATTGATCGGCTAATTTATGAGAAATTTGAGGGATTTTTCCTTTTTTTTTGGTGATTTTTTGGTGTGTTCCTGGTTTTGCAGATCTGAAACATGTGTGATGGGAATGTGAAAAGTGGGGGATTGGGGTTTCCCTGTTTGGATTGAGGGATTGTTGATGGAAAATAGAATTGGAAACTCTCATGGAGCGGAAATTCCTAAGAAATCAAGATCTTTGGATCTTAAGAGTTTGTATAAATCTATTGATTCAAAGGAGTATTCTAAAGTTAAGAGTTTGAAGAGGAAAGAAAGCTCACAAGAAGGCGATGGTGAGAAGGGGAATAGTAATAATAATAACAAGAGAAAGAAGGGTAGGAAAGCTCTGCCTCTCAGTAGTTTGAGAACCGTCCATGATAGCAATAGTAGCAAGAGTTTAAATGAAGTGTATAGTGGAGGGTGCAGTTCGGGGTTGCATGGTCTGGAAAGTCCGAAGAAGTTGGGTTTGAGTCTGAAGTCAAAGAATGGTTGCAGTGCTAATGGCATTTCACTTAGTTTGGGTGACAGTGGAACTAGGATCCCGAAGCGTAAACGTGGCTTTGTGGGGCGGAACAAGTTTGAGGGTGGTCAAGTGTTGAAGTTGGCAGGGCAATCTTGTAGTACAGTTGTTGATGTTAGTGAGGAGGTGAAGTTAGCCAGTGAAGATTCTGGCACTCAAAATGACTCTTCGAAGGTAAAACAGGAGAAGCTTATTGATGATTTTAAGGAAAATAGAAACAGTGAGTCAAGTTCAGTTCAGCATTTGAAGGAAGAAGATGGTGTTGCTAGTTACTCAGCTCTAAATGATAGTGACTCTTTGTTAAAAAAGTCACGGAGGAAGCCTAGGAAGAGGAAGGATTCGGTAAAGGGTGGTAAAAGTGTTGCTAAGAAGGCTGGGAGTTTAGTAGATTCTTCTGTTAAGACATGTGATAATTTTCAAGAAGATGATGAAGAGAATCTTGAAGAGAATGCGGCAAGGATGTTATCATCACGGTTTGACCCAAGTTGTACTGGCTTTTCTTCAAACGGCAAAGTCTCTGTATCACCTTCTGAGAATGGATTATCTTTTCTCTTATCTTCTGGTCAGAATGCTAGTTATGGGCCTAAGAATTTGTCTGGTTCTGAATCTGCATCTGTTGATGCTTCTGGTAGGGTATTGAGACCAAGGAAAAGACATAAAGAAAAGGGAAACTCAAGGAAAAGGCGCCATTTTTATGAAATGTTCTCTGGAGACTTGGATGCACACTGGGTGCTGAATAGAAGAATCAAGGTGTTTTGGCCTTTGGACAATAGTTGGTATTATGGCCTTGTTAATGAATATGACAAGGAGAGAAAGCTTCACCATGTAAAATATGATGACCGTGATGAGGAATGGGTAAATTTACAGAATGAGAGATTTAAACTCCTGCTTTTTCGCAGTGAAGTTCCCAACAAGTCTGGGCGGAAAAGATCTTGGCGAGATAGGAAGCTTAACAAAGAGAAGGGGAAGAGAACTGTCATGACAGAAGATGACAGTGGTAACGGGAGCTATAAGGATTCAGAGCCCATCATCTCCTGGTTGGCTCGCTCTAGTCATCGTGTCAAAATTTGCCCTTCGCGTGATGTGAAGAGACAGAAAACATCTGCTTCTTCTCTTATTTCTCTGGGGCAACCATTGTCGTGTGATGAAGCTGTGGATGGAAACGGTTGTCTGCATGGGAATTCAGTGAAAGCAAAAACAGTTAAATTGTATGGTGCCTCTGCATTGTCAGACAGACCCATTGATGGCAGAAGGATTGAAGATTCTTCTTTGGGTAGCACTAGTTGTCCCAAAGACAGTAAACATCCTATTGTTTATTTTAGAAGGCAGTTTCGTAGGACAGAGAAAGTATTGTGTCAGGTTTCTGAAGGCAGTTGTGTTGCCAGTAGGGTGCCTGAATCTATCATTTCCCTTGGCTCTGTTGATGAATTTCAGGATTTGGGAGAACTTGATGTTTGTCTAGGAAGGTTGGATCCAGAAGGAGATTTGTTGTTTAGTGATGATGCAGGGCAGTTAAAATTAAATATTTCTTTGTTACATTCAAAACAATTCAGGTTTTGGTTGAGCTTCCCTATGCTTTCTGTCTCAAATAACTTATTTGGAACAAAGAGCTTTTGGCTGGTTCATAATTTGTTGCTGCTTCAGTGTGGTACGGTCATGACTGTCTGGCCAATGGTTCATCTGGAGATCCTTTTTGTTGATAATGAAGTTGGACTAAGGTTTCTCCTGTTTGAAGGTTCCTTGAAACAGGCTGTATCTTTTGTTTTCCAGGTCCTGAGGGTATTTTATCGACCTACTGAGCAGGGGAAGTTTGCTGATCTGCAGTTGCCTGTAACTTCAATCAGGTTCAAATTTTCTTGCCCTCAAGATTTTAGGAAGCAGATTGTTTATGCTTTTTACAACTTCCACGAAGTGAAGCATTCAAAATGGATGTCCTTGGATTCTAAGCTGAAAAGACATTGTCTGCTCAATAGTCAATTACCTCTGTCTGAGTGCACTTATGATAACATTAAGGCGCTGCAGAATGGAACTAACCAGCTTCTTAGTTCTCGTGCTTGCAAAGACTCCTCATCACTTGAGGTATGGCTCTTCTCCATGTTATTTTGCTATTGAAATCTCAATGTTGATTTTTTTTTTTTTTACTTGTGGTTAAAGTCTTTGCATGGAAATAGATATTCTGTCTTTTGCTATTTGCCCCTAAAAACCATGCTTGCCCTTGCAAAAAGAAGTAAAAAAAGAAACCCATGCCTCAGAAAGGCCCTATTTAGTTTTAGTTTTACCGTGCCTTTGTTTAGTTCTGTGTTGTCATTTAACTATCAGCCATGGGTTCCAGAGAGTTTTTGTCATTGCTGTATGGTCAGATGTCTAATGTCTTTCTTTTATTTGGTGGCTGTTATTAAATGTTATGAAATTTACTTGCTATTGACCAGGGTTTAAGGAGGAGAAGGTATAGGCAGGGTATCAGCCTTTTGGGTGTCTCCAGAGAATCTTGTTTTCCAAAAGTTGGCCAATTTTCTTCCAATTATGAGAAGAAACACAGAAATCTTCCTCTGTTTGCCCTTTCTTTTGGTGCTGCACCTACTTACTTTCTTAGTTTGCATCTTAAGCTACTTATGGAATATAGTGTTGCTCGCATCAGCTTTCAGGATCATGACTCCATTGAGCAAGCAAAAAGCTCTGGGAATTTGTTGGTGGATGACAGTTCTAGCAGAGACAACTGTGCAAAAAAAAGTTTTGAAAGTAGTGTAGAAAAAAATTTGAAGGATTCATCAAAGGATGCTTCTTCTGATGCTGAGTTAACAACTCTTGATCTCTCTGTTTGTGGTAATGGATGTTGGAAAAAGTCCTCGCAGAAGTATGAAAATGGTGATCAAATTGTTGATATAACTTCTGCCAGCTTTCAGGAACCTGAAGAAGTTGGGGCCATGGCCATTGGTCCATTAGAGAAGGAAAAATGTGACCATCCAAAGTCTCGGCAACTTGGGTCATCAAAGTCTCCAATTGATGGTGATAAGAAGAGTACAGGGTCTAGTTCTGTTTTGAATGGTATTAGGGTTGAGATTCCACCCTTTGAACAATGTGAAAAGTATGTTGATGGCAAATTACCCAGTAGACAACATTCTACTGATTTGACTTGCAATATGAACAGTGGCATTATCCCAAGTCCTAACCCAACTGCCCCTAGAAGTTCTTGGAATCGAAATAGAAATAGTTCTTCATCGATTGGTTACCATGCCCATGGATGGTCAGATGGAAACGCTGATTTCTTCCACAATAATTTTGGAAATGGACCTAAGAAGCCAAGAACTCAAGTATCATACTCAATACCATTTGGAGGTTTAGATTACAGCTCAAGGAATAAAGGCCACCACCAGAGAGGTCTTCCCCACAAGCGAATTAGGAGGGCTAATGAGAAGAGATCATCTGATGTTTCTAGAGGTTCCCAAAGAAACTTGGAGTTATTATCTTGTGATGCAAATGTGCTAATTACCCTTGGTGACAGAGGATGGCGAGAATGTGGAGCACAGGTTGCGCTAGAGCTTTTTGATGATAATGAATGGAAACTGGCTGTGAAAGTTTCAGGGTCTATGAGATACTCTTACAAGGCACATCAGTTCCTGCAGCCTGGATCTACCAATCGTTATACACATGCTATGATGTGGAAAGGAGGAAAGGATTGGATCTTGGAGTTCACTGACAGGAGCCAGTGGGCTCTTTTTAAGGAGATTCATGAAGAGTGCTACAATAGAAATGTCCGTGCTGCTTCAGTTAAGAACATTCCTATTCCTGGAGTTTACTTGATAGAGGAATATGATGAAAATGCAACAGAAGTGACATTTGTCCGTAGTTCTTCAAAGTACATTCGGCAGGTTGAAAATGATGTCGAGATGGCTTTGGATCAATCCTGTGTTTTATATGACATGGATAGTGATGATGAACAGTGGATTTCAAGAATTTGCAAATCTTTAGAAAGTGATGGTAGCAGCAGCTCATTGGAATTTTCTAACCAAATGTTTGAGAAGATTATGGACATGTTTGAGAAGGCTGCATATACTCAAAAGCGTGATCAGTTTAATTCTGATGAAATGCAAGAGCTCATGCCTGGAGTTGGGTCTATGAAAGTAATCAGAGCAATCTATGAGCACTGGCGGCAGAAGAGGCAGAGAGTGGGAATGCCTTTAATTAGGCATCTCCAGGTATCTTTTAAAATACCTGTTTTACGTGGATTTGTTTCGTTTAGTTTTATGTTCAATGCCTTTTAGTTTACAAGCTGATTGAGGTTGTCAACATCTTTTTAGTACAATGGCACTTGATGTACTGAAGTACATGGTTCTACAGATGTATTTGGTAATCTTAATACTGTTCATTTATTAATTGATTTATCTGTAGTTTCTTCACAAACACATGTACTTGCCATCTTTTCATGGGAGCAACTTCTTATAGAGGAGAAATGAGTGATGTGAAAGGGAAAGAAAGAAATTTTCTCAAGAACCTGGAAAGGAAAAACAGAAAATCTGAATTAAGATTATTCAGTTATTCTAAGTAATAGTTGTGTTTGAATATGTGTTAAAACTAATAACAAAGAATTATGAAATATCATGATTCATCTTTTTGTACTCTCTAAAATATCGAGGCCTATCTAATTTTTACACAATGTTAGCACTTAAAATTTATAAAATCAAATCCAAATCCACTCTCCCAAATTCATCTTCCTGAACATAGCATAGGGATTAGGGATTTTAGGAGTGTATAAATCAATGTACGCTTTCTATTGAGATATAGATTATTATCAGATAATTTCCAGCACTATTGCTTTTGTGATTGGGTTCTGCAATCAACCTTAAGTGTGACTCCCAAGGACCCTGGGTAGTATCTTTTCCTTTTTTCTTGATTGTGTATTGCAATCAACCTTAGTTGGGACTCCTATGGAACCCTAGGTGTGAAGCTTAGCATTTCTTTTCTTCTTTCAACTCTTCCTGTTTTCCTCAAGAATCAGATCAGGGAATTGCCTTTGAACCCAGCCCCTTGTGGCCCTACATCATGAGTTGTATGGCTCTTTTTTTTTTCTTCTATAGTTAAAAACTTGTCTCTGTTGGCTCCTTGTCAACACACACACTTGGATGTGCATGTGTATTTCAATTTGTGATTGCATTTCTTTTTTTTTTTTTTCGGTGGGTACTTGCTATTATATTCCTGAGTAAAGATGGTTGCATTTTGAAGTTCTGACACTTCACCTTCATCAATTATATTTTGTAGAATTATATGTTATAGACCATTCCTATTTATTTTAAATGTAAGAAAACAAAAAATATATATATTGATTACCTCCTCGGTGCTTGTCACCAAGGGTAAGTTGTCTTTGGGTGTTGTTTGTTTGTTTGCATTTTTTCTTTTTCTTTTTTCAAGCCTAATTATTATCGAATATAAGTTGGGTTGTCTGATTTGTATTGCATCTATTTTCTATCTAATTTTAGAGCCTTCATAAATTTTCACGTTCATCTCTCAAAGCTCTGATTTTACCCTACAATTCTACCATGTTTACTGTGGTTTGTTTGTTCTTCATGTGTTTGTTTTATCTTAAACATTTTATGATGTAGACTTATGATCATAAAATGTTTGGTTGTCATTCAGCCTCCATTGTGGGAAAGGTACCAACAGCAAGTGAGGGAGTGGGAGCTAGCTATGTCTAAAGCTAACCCTATTCTGTCCAATGGATGCTCAGATAAGGTTCCACCCATTGAGAAGCCACCCATGTTTGCCTTCTGTTTGAAACCCCGGGGTTTGGAAGTTCCAAATAAGGGGTCAAAACAAAGATCCCAGAGGAAAATTTGTCAAAGCAACCCTGCATTGGGAGATCATGAGGGTTGTCATTCCTTTGGTAGTGATCTTTACGATTTCACTTCCATTTCGCTGTTTTATGTTTTCTTTTACTGACTTCATTGGTCGCCATTTCAGGCAGAAGATCAAATGGGTTCCTGTTTGGGGATGAAAAGGTTCTTTATCCTGTGCATAACTATGAATCTTTAGAAGATTCCCCACTGGCTCTGGCTTCACCAAGGGTATTTTCACCACGAGATGCAGGTGGCATGGGATATTTCCCCATTTGCAGTGATGAGCTTGATAAGAATCATCACCTGAAACTTCAAAGGAGCAGGTCAAAGAAATTTGGCACTTTTCTATCATCAAATGACACACCAATGATGGCTTCATATAGTCAGAGGCTAATTGGCAGGAGAAATGGAATTCATCGGTGGAACGTGGGCTTTTCTGAATGGCAAAGCAAGCAGCATCACTTCTCAGATGGCTTTCAAAGGCACGGCCCTGATTCTGATATTGATGAGTTAAGATGGCGTGATGCATCTAGTGCAGCCCAGCATGCATTAAGAATGGCCAAGTTCAAGAGAGAAAAAGCTCAGAGATTGCTTTTCAGAGCAGATCTAGCAATTCACAAGGCTGTGGTTGCTCTCATGACTGCAGAGGCAATCAAAGAATCTTCTGAGGACTTAAATGGTGATGACAGAATGTTCTGATGAAATATGGAGTGTTGACAGAATGAAATTAGCCAGCACCATGCAGTTCTTGAATTGAAGAGTACCAAAAGAATTGACATTCTTTTCCCTGGAATGGATATGGTTTTTTCTGTCTCAGTAATGGTGACCTGGAGTTTTCATTGACTGATCAAAGTGTAAAAGTTCTAACCGGAGTTCTGTAAGCAGTAAGAGTATTTTTTTGCTTCTGCTACAAATTGTGGCAGTTTTTTCTGCAACTTCACAGCTCTTTCGGCCACTAGGCTTCTTTTTAATCCCAGCAGCGGGTTGGGTTGCTCAGTTCGGTGCAACTGTTTTCTTTTATACTGCCGGTAAGGGGTTATGGAATTTTGGCAGCCGATCATTGTACAGATTTTTTCCCCCTTTCCTCTTATTTTGTTCCTTTTTGCCCCTTAGCCTTGATATCAGAGTAGTAGGTGGCCCGAATAATACAGCACCCCTTTGGAATCAAGTTACAATTTCTTGTCGGATTGAGATGTTTGGAGTTTGGACCATTTGGTAGGTATGTATGTATGAAACAAAGCGTACGTCTGAAATGAAAAAAAGAAAATGCTGTAATTAATTATCGTATAAATTTTCACAGAGATTCATTAGAGGGCAAAAATCTTTTGTTGCATCCACTCATTGTTTCATACGTCTATCGATTATGAATTGTCTGAAGCAAGGGATGATTTGGGAAGCATTATACGCGTATGTTTTTCCTTGTCTTTCTGTATTTGCTTCAAGAAACAACAGCAACATGTAGAAATCTGGGTAGTAATTATTATTATCTTTTATAATATAAAACAACAAAATATTTAGATAAACTTGTGAAAAAATAAAGAAATAGTAAAGCGGAATCTAGTGTGAGCAAAATTCAACTGCTTAAAAACGGTTACTTAACAGCATTTTCCGGCAAATTTCCCTGATAACTTTTTCATTTATCCCTTTCCCTTTGCGTTTGTTTCCTCAGAAATTTTTATAAGAAATTTAATTGAGAGGAGGGGTAAATTTCTTTTTTCGGGCTCTTCTCAAACTTCCCGAGAATAAAAGATGCATCAATTGCAATCTTTTGGCATGCTTTGCCTTTTTCCCTTCTTTACTTAGATATTGTATTTGTTCATATAGTTTCATTTTTTTTACGTATGGAATCATCAAAAGCATTAGATTTTCATTGCCCTAAACTTCTGGTTGCTAGCATTAAAACCTCAAGGGAAAGCAAATTCAAGTCTCAACATTAATTTTAATTCTTTCTTCTTGGCTATGTCTGTACCACTTGACTTTTGTTTGCACCATTTTTAGAGGAATACAGTAAGTTGTACCTTATGTTCCTTCTTCTGTTGCCTTATCTCGAGTTAATTTCTTTGTTAAATTTCCCTTCTTATCCCAATAAGAATGGTTCTCGAATGGTTTGCAAAAAAACTGCCTAGTTCAGCTCATATTTGACCATTACCATTGTTTAAACTATTTCAGTAGGGAATTCACTCATAGGGTGAAATCGGTATCAATGGCTAAATTTAGTGGAAGTGATTGCTCTTCAAGTAGTAACATTAATTTTTTCCTTCCGTTATGGTCAACACAATTTTGGGTGCTCTCACAGTCATATGCCACTCCAATGTTTTTATACATTCCTTTGCAAATTATACAGGGACATTTGGCGGATTCCTCTAAAAGCAGGTAAGGTCAGTGTTTTTAGTGGGCATCAATGGCATCTTTGCTAAGAGCCCTCCCTAGTGTCCAAGATCCTATTGGCTTGTCTCATACAGCCAGTTTTGATGCCCATTCTTCAGAAATGGCATCTCATTCATCATGTCTTGCACCTATGATGACACCAGAGTCAACTTTCACTTCGGCTAGGCCTTCTAGGAAATTCACTTCTCTTCTAATTATGCTACATTTTCATATTAATATGTTTTTTCTATTGCTTATGATGAGTTTATACCTTAGGTGCATACATGAGAGATCAATCACATTGCTGTGCCATCTTCCAGGTGACATTTCATGCCGGCTGTCTTATGTTTTCTCCATGTATCTTATAGTCAATGCAGAAGTTAAATAGCATGCCAATGCAAATAAAATATAGGTAAGGTCTAAAAGTAAAGAAAAGCTCTTCTTCTGGTTGAAAATCCAAAAAAAAAAAAAAAAATGCTGCATGACTGATGATGCCTTCAGACTTCTGTATCTTTGACAGAGAGAAATATAGTATCAAAGATGATCTGAAGGAAGCATGAAATGACCACTCTGGACCAAGATACATTCTCAAGACGGTAGAATCCTCTGTAAATTTCTCATTGCCAGCCATTACTTGTTTTCTTTCTTCCTGCTTGGTTTGATCCACCTCCTTATCCTTTTCTTTAGGTGATTATAATCGTGCAATTTTTTATCACCATTTTGTATTCATACACTATTATAATGACTGTAATTATGTAAGAGATTATTGTTTGTTTGTATGGTTGACAATGCTGACTTATAAAAGCACAAGACAAAGTCATGCTTTGATTCAGGGTTTGGATTTTAAACTTTTCAATCCTTTCAAGCACTCTTTACACCAAGCTTAAATGAAAAACATGGTATTGTTATGGAGTTCCAGGCGTCCACGCTGTAGAACAGGACTGATCTCTGCTCCAGTTCCTGAGCTTAAGAAGCACATGCACTAATATTCCACAAACAAAGCCTAGTGCTGCACTTGAGCGTACAAGGGAAACAGCTGTGCATATTAACATCACAAAAGACTCTTCCTTCGAATTCATATCTCTGCAACTCATTGCTAGTTCAATCCCTGCAAACAAGAGTAAAACACCCAAGAGGCCAACTGGAAACTGGTGCAAAATCGTCACTAAAGAAGTTCCTAATACCACCCCCAAGATCATTTTGGCTGCCCCAAGAATAGCTACACACCCACCACTCCTGCCTCCAAACTTGTACTGCCCAGCTAGCCCACCTGCACCATGGCAGCATGGAATGGCACCAAACCAGCACCCCACCAAGTTCATTAGCCCGACAGTTACTGAAAGCGAGGTAGCTGAGAATTCCCTTCCTGGAAATAGATCTGATGACAACTTGCAGACTGCAATCACTGAGTTTAGTACTGATAAAGGCAGTTGAGGGATCGTGCCCTTGATAAATCCTTCCTTCCATGCATGACTAGATATATGCACAACCTTCATAGAAGAAGGTCCAAATTTAATGTCATTCACCACTTTGGGCCTTCGTATGAATGCCAAAATCGCACCTAACAAGAAAATGATAAAAGCTGAAGGAATAGAAGCCATGATTTTCCTGATTCTTTTCCTTCTCGTACTCCCTTCTTCGTCAAGATTAGCCTCTCTTTCATTTCTTTCTTCACCTGCACCATTAACAACAATTATGAAACAAGCACAAACTATAGCCAAAATCAATCCATCCAATCCTAGCCAATGTCTATTCCCTTCAGATTTTGACTTGGAAAAATCCTGAACGTTTCTAATGTACTTAACAGCAGTCATAGCAAATGATAAGCCTTGTGACAGCTGAATTCCCCTAACAACAGATAGGGGTATCAGCTTATACACCAGCCGCATCAACCCTGTAACACCCAAAACCAACAAAATTGCACCAGAAGAAATTCCAGCTGCCATAATTTCTGGGATATCAAAATCCGAAACATTAGATATAGCTACTGCTGCAATCGCCTTCATGGGTTGGACAGGCATTGGAACACCATATATGGCGCCAGTGACAATGTTGTAGACACCAGTGAATATCAATGTGGTGCCTAAGTTAAGGTCCTTGGCAAGTGTCAAGGCCAACACAATAGGAATATATGTGCCCAAGTCTCCCATGGCACCATTCAATTCTGCCCATTTAGATTGAAAAAACAAATTGCTTTTCACTCTATGAACTATGTTAGTTGGTGAAGGAGAGGTGGGGTTGCTGGGAGGTGTTCTAGCTAAGTTTTCAGGGTTTTGGGTGTATTGAGACTCCATGGCTGTGACTGTGAGGTATACCAGTGATTTGAGAATGAAAATGGAATGTGGATTAACCCCTTATAATTAGGTGAAAATAGGGGGAGATTTTGACCCAACGTTTTGGTTCATGAGAGGCCGTTGTTGCATCAAAAATATAAGCCGCATGTTGTGGCTGAAGCATCTTCTAAATTGTGACGTTTGAAACCGAACAAGTTGATGTGATGTGACCCACATTGAATGATCGAAACTAAATATGCAGCCATTCTATTGTCTGAAAATTTCCCTTTAAATAAAATGAAAATCTTGGCATAGAGATATAGGAATTTATGTGATTATACGGTGTAAAATATTATTTTTATCATATTTTATATAAAAATTATGTATTATAATTTTTATTTATATAAAAAAATAAAATACAATTTTTTATTTCATTAAATTTATTTATAATTTTTTAAAATTTTTTAATTATATTATTTTTATATAATATATTTTTTAAGATATTTCCTTATCTGCCAGTTGGATTCATAGGTTAGTGTGTAAAATCACTGGTGTCATCCGTGACAGCATCCACAGTAAACTTGAATCTTATCAGAACTATGTGCATGACCCCTTTAAGATTGCTTTCAATATTTTTGTCCGTCCATGGTTTTTACATTTGGTAAAGTTGGGTCAACTTTCATGACCAATTATACCCCTATTGTGACATTTTCCAATACCATGTATTCATCAAATTCTCATTTAAAGGGTGTAGATTGCACTGATCAACTCTTTGAGAATCAAATTTTTTATTTTGTTTTTATTTATTTTTAAATTAAAACTAATTTATAAAATTTTAATTTTAAAATCTAAAATTTGAGCTGAAACATTAAAAAATATATATTTCGAAATAAAAAAAAGTATTTGTTTAATCATTTAATTTTTAAAAATTTTTAAATATACTGTTAATAATTATTGCTTTCAATTAAACTACTCCTATTAATTACAATTTTTACCAACTAGGAAGTCGAAATCATTGTTCTTTTGTTACCACATATATAAGAATATGTTTAACATATTTAATACTTTTAACATGTTTTTTATATTTATTTTAATTGAATATAAACATATAAAATTATTTTAATTTTTAATTTTTTAATTATGATAATTAACTATTTAATATCATATAAAAATTATTTTAAATATTTAATTATGATACTCATTTAATAATTATTATAAAATTTTTTTGGATATAAATAATATAAATACAATATAAATATTAATATTAGTCTTATACATTATTATTTTATTCTTTAATCTTTAATAGTTTATCATTTTAAATTTAATATTAAGAATTAATATAGTTATGTAATATATATTAAAATTTAAATACATATTAAAAGGATTTTTTTTATCTTTTAATGTGTAAGTACTTTTTTATATTACTAATATGTTAAGTTTATTAAGTTATAAAATATGAAAAGTTTATAGTTATTTATTATTTTAGTCATATTTTTGTATATATTCGTGTTATTTGTGTTTATTAGTATTGTGTTTAAATGAATTAATTATATATATGTTATCGTATTATGTGTAACACGTATAATAAACATGTCGTATTTGTGTTTAAAATTTAAATACATTTTATAATTCGTATTATGTTTATATTTTATAATTCATATAATTACATGTGTCAAATATTATAAAAATATAACACAAAAATACGAATTATCAGATTTACTTTTCACACCAAACTTCTCTTTATATAATCACCGATTCTCTTTTTCTTCTTTATTTTTATTTCCTCAATATGTTTTTACCTTTTTGATCCTTGATGCTTTAATTTTTTTTTTTAATTCAATTCATAATCACTAAAACCACTTAAGCATTCTTGATAATAAAAAAATTCTTGGTTTTTTCCTTATTAATAAGAAAATGAATCATGGCATGTATATATATATATATATATATATATTCATTGATAGAGGATTTTGGGTGTACATTATGATCTTTTTAAAATGTTATAATCTTTTTATTGTGTTTTGTCAATTTGTTCTTACCTCTATATTATTAGTGAATCTTTGAGAAAGTGGTTTTCTAGCGAAGTGGCTTTTATCATTTTTATGTCTTTTAATTGTAATTTTCACCCAAAAAAAAAAAGGAAAAAACCAAAATCTAAAATTATTTGAAATGATTTTTAATTAAAATCACTCTCAAATCTAATGAATTTTTAATTGATAATTATTACTTCTGTCTTATTGGTGGAACAAATAGACTTTATATTATGTCTTTTTTTAATCAAATATAGCTAATATTCATGGTGTTTTTTTTATAATATAAATTTAATTTCTTGGTAATCAAGTTTAACTTTTAGACTTGGGTGAGAGTCAAACCACATTATGAAAAGACAGGAGTTTCCTCCCTTCACCTACCGACTTAATAAAACTCAATGCAAACAATAACATTTTCCATGTCCTCGATCGTCCAAAATCTAAAAGTTGTGGACTTTCTGGTTTTTATATTGTTGCCTCAATAATTACGCGGATTTCCCCGTTGCATTCACTTTTTTTTGTTTTTTCATAATTAAACCTCGTAAACAGATACGCAGATCTCCTAGTCGCAGGAAACCCATGTTTTCCTCTTTTTTTTTTTAATTATTAAATATTATATTTATATATTTGGACTAATCAATAATGTAGTTGTCCCTACAAGTGACGGTGAATCCGATTCTTTTCGCTACTCCAACTCAAAAGGAGAGTGAAAAAAGAAAGTTAAATAATCAAATCAAGATTAAATATTTAGGTAATTATTTAATTTAAAATTAAATATTTTAATTTATATGAATAATAATTAAATATTATTAATTTATAATAATATAAGATTTATTTTCACGAAAAATAAAATGTGCATGTTATGCGTTGTTAAATTATTTACGTGTAAAACTCATCATAGATAAATATGATGTGTAATATGACATAAAATTAACTTATCCACATGTAATGACAATCTAGCTGAGATTTTGATTGTTTTTCGAAGCTTATTATATTTTTATCCTATTATTTTTTATCCTTTTTGTTTGTTCAAATATCACAGAGCTTGAACTTAAGATTTTTTCATTTATAAGCAAGTATTCTCCTTGTTTTTCTTGTTTTTCACAGTAAATTGAAAAAAATTTCTATTAAAATAACATCTGAATATAATATCTTTGTCAAATATCAATTAATCTAATAACGTAAATTCAAGGTTGGTATAAATTTTAGATTTTTCTGATGCTATGATTTTCTCTGAATTTTTTCTTCAAAATATTAAAATTGTAACGTTTCTAGAAAAGGGTCTTATGATAAAAATATATATAAGTTAATTTCAGTTAGTTACCTTATAGAATGGGACTTTGAAAGAGAATTCATTTTTCTATAACTATAATATGAAGGTAGCTTGGTAGACTTCATGGACGAATAGCATTCATAGTAGAAGATTTTATGGATGCCTACATTATCTAGTAAATTTATTGATATTTCTTTGGTGTTTTTGTTGGTATTTCTTTGGTGTTTTAGTTGTATTTGTTTCCTAATATTTTTTTGGTGTGATTGCTGAAATTTGTTTGCTGATATTTCTTTAGTGTAATTGTAGGGCACTATTTTGTGGATTTGATTTATGACATGATCCAAAAATTTTTGAAAGAGCAAAAAAGATTATTCTGAAGCTGAAAAAGAGAAAATTTTTTTATATAGTCATGTTTAAAGTTTGAAATATGAAGTTTCAAAGTTGAAAAAAATTGTTGGTGAAGTTGATGTTATTGCAGAGAATATGCAACTAAAAAGAGACGTTAGTTTTTAATGTTGAAATTGAAAGAAAGCAATAATATTGTTAGTGGTGGATATAGTAAAGATGACAACTGAAAAATAATTTGGCTTATCTCATTCTTTTTTATACTTGTGTTTTGTGTAATCTTTTTCAATGTCAAAAAAATTCTGAAAACTTAACTTGTATACTTGATAATTGGTTAAGATTGTTACGAGGGTCTGTAAATATTTGTGAAAACTCTTATTATATCAATGGTCAATTGAATCAATGTTATTGGCTGTGAATTTTGTTGCTTTATGTTATTAGTTGTTAAAATATGGTTTAGTGTAATATATTCAACTCGCAATATATAACTAAAAAGTAATCTAAGGTAATCTGATAACAAAGCAATCTTATGAATGTCAATAGAAAATGTTCTCATACAACATTCAATACAGAAAACATTTAGCCAATAGAAAAGCTAAACAGAAAGTGTTCTTACAACATTAACAAGAAAAAAATAAGTAACATCAACAACTAGCAGTAACAGTCAACAGAAAAAACATCAACTTATTTGATTTTTTGTTTCCCCTTATTTTTTTTAGAAGCAAGAACTTAACTTTTTTAGGTACCAATTACATCCTCAACAACCTTTCACTTGCCTCTATTTGTCCTAATTGCTATCACTTTTTGACTTCTTAGTCCAAGCTATTGAATAATATTTATCAAGTTATAATGGATAATATTTAAGGAAATGAAATAAAATATATATATGTTTGGTAAAGAATTACTCACATTTAAGATTTGTCTCCCTATTTTTAAGTTTGTATATAATCCATAACCTTACATGCCTTTTGTCTTGCTTCTGGTTGCAGCTCCAACAGTATGCTTGTCATTGTGACTTTCCAATGTTGTTTGTTAAAATTGCTCTTTTTCTAATGGTTGTTGTAAAAGAGTTAGACTTTGATAAATAACTTGTTTTTCTATTAGTCATCCCATAAAACTCTCTCATCTTCATTTGCAAAACATCTTTCAATAGATCTTGTTGGCCTTTTAGACTTCAATTTTGCATTTTTAATAGCAACAGCAGCAACAACATTGACTATATTTGAAACTGGAGTTAAAACTGGATCTAAAACTTTATTTGAATTTGGATTTGAAGCTAGAGTTACAACTAAAATGAAAACTGGATTTGAAACTGGATTTAAGGTTTATACAGATGCAGTTGTAATTGTAGTTATAGACGTAAAACCATTGATATTAGTTGAAGCAAATGTAGATACGTAACCAAATCTTGATACATAAGCCAAAGCTGATGCAGAAGCATCATAAGTAGTAGCTGAAGCAGTAGCATAGTTGCTTGGACTATGTATAACTTTAATAGGATCTACAGGTCATGTTCTAATCTCTGGATCTTAGCATATAATAATCTTGTTGTCATGAAA